CACATTAAAACTCATTTTGTTGGATAGGGCCCATTGTTCAAGTTTGTCAAGATCTTTTTGGATCCTGAGCTTGTCTTGCTGCCAGTTTAGTGTCATCTGCAAATTTGATGAGCTCCCCTTCTATTCCCTTATCTAAGTCATTAATGAAGATATTGAAGTGTACTGGGCCTAAAACGGAGCCTTACTTACTGCTTACTTCTCTCCGTGTGGATGTAATACCATTGAGGACTACTTACTGAGTATGGTTTGACAGCCAGCTACAGATCCATCGGATGGTGTTGTTGTCTATTCCACCTTTTTCTAGCTTACTAAGCAGCAGGTTGTGGTCTACTTTGTCAAATGCCTTACTGAAATCTAAGTATACTTTGTGCACAGTGTTTCACTGGTCTACTAATTTAGTCACTTTATCGAAGAATGAAATAAGATTGGTTTGGCATGATCTGTTTTTAACAATCCCATGCTGGCTACCAGTTATGACTTTGTTTGCTTCTCGTGGTCCATATAAATATAAGTCAAGCAGCTGCTAGAGCTTGCTTCTGTGAGAACCTAACAAAGAGCTGTTATTTCAACTTCGTGTCTTCAATGTCTCACTATTTCCACTATACAACACTGGTGACGAAGGTGGGATTATGCTGCTAGGAGGAAAGAGCTAAGTCACTAAAGAGGTAAGACCAGGCATCAGTGCCCTGGTTGGAATTGTGTTCCCCCCTTCTGCCTGCCAGAACGCAAATGCTGGAGGTAGCACATTCCTTGGGACCTGTCCCTAGGAAACTCACAGAAGCCCTAACAGCATAAGACATTGGAGACACAGTAACAGCCAAACCATGGCCAAAGTTGGCAAGCTTTCAGAATTTGACGTGACACACCCCGAAAGATGGAGTTCATATGTCTCAAGAGTAGAAAACTACTTCAGAGCGAACCAGGTCAGAGAAGATAATTTAAAAGCTGCAACTTTGTTGTGCATGTGTGGCCAAGCCACCTTTGATATAGCAGAGAACCTAATCGCTCCTGCTACATTGGAGTCAGTCACCTTTGCTGACTTGAAACGAAGACTCAAAGAGTGCTTCAAACCTAGACTGTCAATTATCACATACAGACACGTGTTCGAGCAGAGAGAACAGCAGCCAGGTAAAACCATTGCTGAATTTGTGGCTGCCCTACGCCAAGTGTCTCGGCTATGCAAGTTTCCTGACCTAGAGGACCGGCTCCGGGACTGACTGGTATGTGGCTTGAGAAGCAGAGACTTACAGCCAAGGCTGTTTGCTAAAGAGTCCCTGACATTCCAGGACGCACTGAAAGAAGTGATGGCAGAAGAAGCCGCAGGTGGAGCCATCAAGGCTTTACATCCTTCAAAGAATTTTCCCAGCCAAACGGCTGTGCATCATGAAGAATCAGAAAGAACAGAAGACCCAGACATAGACAATGAGATCGACTGGGTGCAGAAGATCCCAGAAAGAAGGCAGAGGCTGCTTGACAAGGCAGTTCCCTTCCCTAGCTGTCTTGGCTGTGGTGGACGACACCAGCACTCAGAATGCCGGTTTCACACAGCTGTGTACCGAGCATGTGGCAAACAAGGCCACATTGCTACCGTCTGTAAAGGTCGCCAGAGGGAATCTCCATGTGAAGACTTCCCCAGGAGAGGTAATGGGGTCCCAGGGCAGAATAGAGTAGGATTTTGCTCCGGAAGAAGGAGCATCCTCAGAACTGGAGCCTATCACCCCTTAAAAGAAACGCCTAGACTAACAGTCAAGCTGCAAGGAATTCCATGCTCCATGGAACTGGACAATGGATCAGCTGTGTCTATAATTTCCTATAAGACTTTTAACTTCATCTGCAGACATGGCGGAAAATGAGTCAGACTCAAGCCATCAGATTTAGTTTTGACAGATTTTCAAAACTCCTGCATAGCGGTTAAAGGAGAAGCTATGATGAAAGTGACATTCAAAGAGTTTGAGGGTCCCCTCAGTGTCGTGGTGGTGGAAAGCCAGCAAACAAGCCTGATTGGCTTAGACTGGCTTGATGCCCTGGGCATCCATGTGACTGGCATTAACAGAACCCAAACAGCAGATTTGGCAGCTGTCTGCCAGGAGTTTGCGGGCGTATTCAGTCCCAATTTAGGGAAGTACAAAGGAGCATGAATTGCTCTCCACCTTGATCCAACTGTAGCCCCAATCAGAATAAAGCCTCATAGAGTGCCTTTTGCCCTTAAGCCCAAGCTTGATGCAGAGTTAGATAAGCTCATTCAACAGGGAGTCTTGAAACCCATTGACAGCTGTGTGTGGGAAACCCCCATAGTTACACTGATCAAGCCTAACGGAGAGGTGCGCATTTGCACTGATTATAAGTGCACTATTAATAAGGAACTGGAGCAGCATGCTTATCCGATACTTGTAGTTAGCCACATTCTGGCATCCTTACAAGGAGGTCACTTATTTGCAAAGCTGGACCTGGCACAGGCTTATCAGCAACTGGTGTCCTTAATGCTGAGAAATACAGGCAGATACTCATCCATCATGCCAGGGAAGTGTGTGATTGGCTCCAAATTTATTTTGTAGCAGGACAATGGCCCCAAACATATAGCCTTCATCAAAATATTGTCCATAGGACTTCAGAAGCTAAATTTGCACAATATTTTGATCCACCTAATATCAAACTCTTATTAGAACAAATACTATAAAATAAAATAAACCAAAACATACAATAGAGGAATAGACCTGTGTTCCAGTTAGAAGTTGTCCTACATATTCAGATCTTGTCTGACAATGACAGTGCCCTTAGCACAGGGATGTCAAACTGCCAGCCCGTGGGCAGGATGTGTTATGGTGAAACCACGCCCACCCCATTGCCAGCAATGGAAAAAAAGTCACGATATGTTGTGACACGTAACATGACATTGCAAGTTTGACACCCCAGCCTTAGCAAGACACAGAAGCTAAAACCAAGAAGAGATTTCTTCCTATGGAGAAAATTAACCAGTTCAGACGTTGTAGGTGCTTCATTATGGGTGACTTTTAAGAAGAGACTTGACAGCACTGATCTGGAATGGTATACAGAGTCTTGCTTGAGCAGAGGGTTGGATTAGAAGACCTGTAAGGTTCCTTCCAACTCTATTATTTTTTATTCTGTACATAGGTTCATGAAATAAAAATGATAATAGAAGATCAAGAACCAAAATGTTAATGCTCCCAATAAGTCAGTGCTGATAACACCTTATTTCCAAGGTTTCTTAAGAAATGTCATGGCAAAAATCAAATTTACAAGAATAGTTCAACAAATACAATAGGAGAAAGTGGCAGTTCAGCTTCACTGTGTCACAAATGATTTTTCATATTGTTTCCTTTGGCACTGTTTTGAACACAAATAGAAATTAGGATAGCCTTTCAGAGCAAAAGCTATTATGTACCACCTTCTTATCATGCCAACAATGCAACATAATGCTACTTCAATGCTCTATAATTATGTATTAAATTCCATGTAACTGGAAGCAGTCTTGGCCAAAAGGAACTGCTGTAGATAATTTCAGGTGATTTGAATTAATTTTCCCAGCCAAAACCAAAATATTTAAAATTGATAGATCAGAGTAAAATGCTGTTAATTTGTTCAATTAATCATTTGGAAACTTGTATAAAGTGATAGAGATTAATATATGGCTTTTCAACATTTCATGCTTTCTCTTCTTGAAAGAACTTTTGATATATTAAAAATTAGATAAGCATCTCTAAAAACTGAAAATAAAAACTTTGATCAATGTTTCCCAACCTGGTACTTTCCCAACTCCTAGAATTGTTGTTTATACTGGTGGAATTCTGGAAATTTAAGTCCCAAAATGTGAAGAAAGTGCCAGGAAGACTGGAATACTTAAACATAACTCAGTATAAATAAATGTTATACTAAGTTCTTCCATGCATAATCCACAAGCAAAGTTTTTGATGCAACTCTATTGGAGAATGCAGTGGTGGGACCTTCAAGGGGCTTGAGCACTTGATATTTTCACTTAGCAATTAAATTAACAAGAAGACTAACTTAAGTAAAATTAGCACTATTCCTCTAATTTACAAACAACTCACAATCCTGTTCTGGTTATTCTGATCAGTCTTCTCACACAGCAATTTTACAATATCTGTGGTATAAAAATCACCACAAGCTGCCTTCCAGTTTGTCATCACGGCGGAGCCGCTGGAAAGCGAGCTCTGTCTTCGCGTTTGATTTTGTTCTGCTGGGGGACCCTGGAAAGGGTCGAAAGTCACCCTGTAGGGGCAACGAGCAAGGAGGAGACCCCCGCCAGATTTTTGTCATTATTTCAAGAAGAATTCTAGGAAATATTATCCAATTAAACAATAGCAGTCCAACAACATCTGACTCAAATCAATTTGAATGTATTCAACATCTAGATTGCTAGGAAAATGTCACAGGGTCCTCTGAATTTTCTACATTTATCTGTCCTTAGATTTACTTTCATTTCTAAAGATGGGTAAATGCAGAAAATTCAGTGGACCCTGTGGCACTTCCCAGTAATCTAGATATTGGATAATTTGAAACACGTTTGAGTCAGATCACACCTTGAAGTATAAATTAAATCAATTGTACATCAAAATAATAGTTTCTTAGACTTCCTGGACAATTATTAAACAGAGAGAAACAATAAACATAATTAATGTGTGTCTTTTGTTTATCAATACAGAGTAGAACTTTGTATATTTCAACCCAGTCGAAGATAGGCTTAGGATCCTACTACTATTTCCTATGTTCTTCCATTACTATGTATGAACAAAAATTTCACAATTACCTTGGATTAGATAGCCAATCACAGTCTGTAATTAAAATAAGAAAAGCAGTGTCTTTTCTTATGCATTATAAAGACTGTAAATAGAAGAAGAAATCTCTAACATTATCGGCTTTACACCATTTTTCACTGTCTATTGATTCAAATGCTTCTATGTAAGAAAGTAAACACAAAGATATTACATGAAAGTAATAATAATCAAACTTAGTGTACCTACTTAGGATGTCGAATGTCTGGCAGTGATCGCTCCAAGGCTATATTGTTGCTTACAAAAATATTGAAACCATTTTCCCGATAAGCAGAATCATCACTATCTTCTTCTGTGAGAGGATATGGCTTTCCTTGTTCACCTTTCCCTGAAATGGTATTAAATCAAAATGTGATCAGAGATGAACAAGATCTCAGAAATGGTTAGCAGTTTGTCTGTAAATTAGAATGTGGCAAGTTTGTGCCAAGCCAAAAATGAATTGACAATTCTCAAACTGTCACTCTATGCCTTCAGGTGAATTTTTCTCCCATCATAAGCAGGAGACTAACTAAGGAATGACAAGCAGGCCTACCATATTGAGGCTTATTTTTACACAGAAGTATTATAACAATTTGTGTTGTTATTATTGCTGTTTTCTAAAACTCTCTCTCTCTCTCTCTCTCTATCTATCTATCTATCTATCTATCTATCTATCTATATATATATACATACATACATACATACATACATACACACACACACACACCACAGACAGACAGACAGATAGATATATATATGATACCTCCTGCCTCCCAGCCATTTGGAAACCCTCCATTATTGACAAATGAGCCCCTAACACAAAGAATGACACCAGACCCACACCCACGAAAACCACACAGGATATCACCACCACACATCCATGCAAAAAGCAAACCCAAACCCACACCAATGATGAGGCACGACCACAAACCAGAAGCCAGACCACAGCTGCATCATTAGCCACTTTAAACCACTCCAATCCATACATGAAGCAAACTGACACCCACCATGAAGATGAGGCACGACCACGAAGCCAAACAACAGCAACATAGCTCACCATCTCAAAACCCCCTGAAACTCAGACTAACCTGAGCACAACAAAGCCCCCACCCAAACAGAACACTCCCCCATCCAATCAGAGCACAGCCAACCCCCATCCAATCAGTTCATACCCCCACTGGCAGTTAAAAGGAAGAAACAGCTACGATCACACATTGCTCCTAGAAGCATAAAGCTGAAAACACCAGCCTGAAGATGATGAATGGGACTTGGTCCAAATATTGCCAAGACACTTCCAATTTTACGTGGGAGAAAACCCGAATAACCAAAGACCTACATATATCTATCTATCTCTATCTATCTATCTATCTATCTATCTATCTATCTATCTATCTATCTACATACATATACATACATACATACATACATACATACATACATACATACATACATACATACGAAGGGTCAGATGAAAGAATATATGTGCAGATGAGGCCCTGAGGATCAGAAGAAGGGTCATATGTGGAGATAGGACCTAGTAGATTCTATTTCAGATGATGTTTTTCCATACAGCTTCAGATCATCCATGTAAAGGAGATGGGATAGTCTGGCAGATGTTTTTGATGTATGATAGCCATGTTCTGAATTATTCAGTATTGTTGACAGAGGAAACAGTGCAATAACACATAGTAATGGTGATAATGAATCTCCTTGAAATATTGCTCTCTTGATATTAACCTCTCCCAGTCTCTCACCCTTGATCTGCAGCTGTGTCTTCCATTGTGCCATCGATCTTTGCACAAATTTTCTGATGTTTCTACTGACTCCTGTTATTTCTAGGCACTTGATTATCCAATCATGTGGCAGAGAGTCAAATTCCTTTTTGTAGTCAATCCATGCCACATTCAGGTTGGTCTTCCTTCTCTTGCAGTTTTCCAAGATCATTTTGTCTATTAGGAGTTGATCTTTTGTTCCTCTGCTATTGGGGCGGTTTCCTTTTTGCTCAGGTTATTATTATTATTATTATTATTATTATTATTATTATTGTTGTTGTTGTTGTTGTTGTTGTTGTTGTTGTTGTAGTAGTAGTAGTAGTAGTAGTAGTAGTAGTAGTAGTAGTAGAAAATAAGATTCCACTGCATTTAATAGGACTTAATTTCAGCATACCCACAGAATTGTGTTAAACTGATTAATCAGCTGTGTCAGAATCCAATTATATTTTATCTCTAGTTATCAATTATAAAAAATCCCATTTCTGCCTTCTATGGATTCTGCCATATGATGAAGGGAAGGGGGTGAACAAAGGGGCTTTATGGCCCTCACTTCCTTTGGTACACTTCAAAGGAACTGGTTGTGTGTATTGCCAAAAGAGCTAACCATAAGAATGGGGCTATTACTTTTCATGTAGTTTTCTTTGAAGTCTCCATCCAGCCAGCAGTAAGAAAAAGGGGGTGGGAATGTAATGCCTGAGATTGTCGCTGGAAGAGGGGGGTGATTGGGTGGGGCTACTGGGGAACCCCTTAAAACCTTGAATGGGAGAGCTTGGACCCCAAGTCCTGTCTAGAATGCCTGCAACCATTTTCTCTTAATAAAGGATGCCTGTTGGAAGAATTATTCCAATAGGTATTTTGTAATTTAACCTATAATAATATTTCTTCCAGACTTGAAGTAGGGCACTTCTTAAAATATGCAATTTAAAAGCCCGATCTACTTTCTTATTAAAAATTAAATATGCATGCCAACCATATAATAAATCCCACCCTTCAAGAGAAAGAATATTTTTATTTGTTAAATTAAGCCAATCACCTATCAAAGTTAATGTGGCTGCATCATAATGTAATTTCAAATTAGGCGCTTTAAGCCCTCCTCTTTCTCGAGCATCTTGCAAAATCTTAAACTTCACCCTTGGTTTCTTTCCAGCCCATATAAATTTATTGATACCCTTCTGCCACTCATCCAAATTAGCATCTTTTTTTAAAATGGGTATCATTTGAAACAAGAAAAGAAACTTGGGTAAAACATTCATTTTAACAGCTGAAATTCTCCCCAACAACGATAATTGCAATTTTTTCCAATCTTTTAAATCCTTTTTTACTTTTGTCCATAATACTTCATAATTATTCTTATATAATTTCCCATTAGAAACTGTTATATATACTCCCAAATATTTAACCTTCTTCACTATCTGAAAACCTGTAAGTCTAACTAAAATTTCATTATCCTTCTCAGTCATATTCTTAGATAATATCTTATTATTATTTACTTTGAAACCAGAAACTTTCCCATATTGAGTTATAAGTTCCAATAAATAACTAACCGATTGAATTGGTTGTTGTAAAGTTAACACCAAATCATCTGCAAAAGCTCTCAATCTATACTCATTCTTATTTATTTTTATTCCCTTAAGTACTGTAGACTCGCGAATTTGAATTAACAAAATCTCCATTGTTAAAACAAATAACAAAGGAGATAATGGCTTCCGGTGGTTAAAGCGGTGGAAATGGCGGCTACTTTGTAGCCGTCCTCCTGAGATGGTGTCAGATCCGCGGAGCACAGCGTTCATCAGCTGGCCCGCGGCTCGCAATCCCCTTCCCGGGCGAAGGGAAGGGGTAGAGATCGCATGAATAGAGGTAGAACCTCTTAACCCTCCCTGGATTTTTATTTTAGGGGGGTAGAAAGAGTGCTCCCTCGGAGTTCATTGCCTTCTCCGCCTCTCAGCTGTCTTTGTTTCTTTGGAAACAAAGCGAAACGCCGCTACCATCTCCGTATTTAAAGTAACCGTGAGTAATCTTAAACCGGACAGAACTGTTTAAAGGATTTTATTTATAGTTTAGTTTTATTTTATTTTTTTTTAGTTTATTTAGTTTATTTAGCATGTGTTGATTTTTTCTTATTTTTTGAGCTTTCCCTTTTTTTTTTTTTTTCCCGGGCGGAAAAGTGAGAGTGAAAGTAAAATGGCGTTTTGAAAGTTTTTTTTTCTTTTGAAAGACGGACTGGCTGAACTGTTGTTTAATACTGCTTTTCTTTTTAAGTTTTTCTTTATCTTTTGGGAGCTTTTAAATTGATTCCATTTTATCCTATTTTACCTTATTTTTAATTTTTGGACTGTTTATTTTTTATTGGTATTTTTATGAAGAAAGAAAGATAAATTGAAATGGCTTCAAAACGACAACCAGCTACTACAGCTCCTAAGGTAACTTCTTCTCCTGCTACCTCTACTGTGCAACAACAACTTAAAATAATACCCTCAGTGCAGCAACCTAAAACTACTCCACCCTCACCTCCCCCATCTGGCACATCAGCACAAGACATTAAAGAAATAATGGTAAGTGCTGTGTCACAGTTTAGGGAGGAAATGAAGCAACTTTTGGAACAGAATAAATCTGAAAGCAAGGAAGAAATGAAGAAAGAGATGAAGGAGCTTTTAGAACAGAATAATACTATATTGAGGGATGATATACTTCTAGCTTTATCTGGAGTGGCCTCAGTGGTTGTGAAGCTGGACTCTAGAGTGGAGGAAATTGAAGAAACAGTAGAACTTTTGGACTATAAATTCCAAGATATGGAGAAAAAAGTGGAAACTTCACAAGATGATATTCTTATGTTCCAGTATAGACAGATGGAATATGCTTTGAGAATAAGGGGCCTGAAAGAAGATAAAACTCAAGATCTGATGAAAATGGTGATTAATGACTTGGCTGTTATCTTGAATATAGACAAAGATGAGTTACGTGGGGAAGTGGAAAGAATTTATAGAGTTAATTCTTGGATTGCAAAACAGAGGAATCTGCCTAGAGATGTGGTGATATATTTTGCTAAGAAGTCCTTGCGAAATCAGATTCTGCAAACTTTTTACAATAAAAGATTCCAGATTGCTGCTCAAGATATTATTATTTTAAAGGAAATTCCACCTAAAATTTTAAGAAGCAGAAAAGATTTTGCTTTTCTAGCAAATGAACTTAAAGCAAGACAAATGCGATTTAGATGGGAGATTCCGATGGGCATTGTTTTGAGCCATGCGGGGACACGTTATAGACTTAATACAGTTGCTAAAGCTAAGGAATTTTATAAAACGGTCCTGGGTGCAGGCTCACCTTTGCCCATGATGCACAAAGTCCTGAGTGATAAAGAGATGGAACAGAAATCTGAAGATACAGGTGCGATGACTGCTGGACAGGTGGTATGGATGTCTCAAGCAGAGGTTAAAGAACAGAGAATGACCCGTGCAGCACACAAACGTAAAGAAAAAGAACAACAGAAAAAAGAAAAAGAAATCAAAGAATCTACTCAGCAAATTGTTTCAGTGCCGGTGGGAGGAGCAAGACCCAAAAGCTCTGCAACATATTCTTC